CACCGGCTCAGGGTGGACTCAGCCTTCCATCCTTCCAAGGTGGGTAAAATGCGGACCCGGTTTGTTGTTGGGGGCAATATGCTGACTCTGTAAACCGCTTAGAGAGGGCTGAAAGCCCTATGAAGCAGTATATAAGTCTAACTGCTATTGCTATTATTGTGCCCTGTGTCTTGTTAAACTAATAATGCTTTTATTCAGCAACAGATTAAAAGTAATAAAATGCTGGTGAGATTCTTGCTGTTTATATTCACAAATATCTAGGAGGGTTGCCAAATTTTATAGGATTGTAGATGTTGTAAGAAAGATGTCAGTTTAATTTTGGGAATGATCAAATATATTTCTTGATACATTTTATTAATTATACAGATCTTACTATTTTTGATTGTGATTGTGACTGTATTCGTTCTTTGACTATAAATAAGTGAAATCTCCACTATCTCCCAGCACGCATGGAATGAATGTGGGTTGGAAGAGAGTACAGCTGTGTGACCACCTCAAAATAATGCATTGATGAACTCTTGGTGGATACGGCTGGGATAAGCAGCCTGGAGTGGCAGTGAGTGGATTAATGTTTCAGGAGGATTAGTAATGAAGATTTGTGCTTGTCAGCTTGGAGGGTACTGTGATTAATAAAAGCTAGGTAAGGTTTGGTGACAAGCAGTGGCACATTGACTTAAGGCCAATGCCTGTGGTGGGGGTGATTGTTGCATTGCCACATTTTTTTATCAACTTGAGAAGAGGAGATAGTATTTTGTAATTTTAAGAGTTCCACATAAATAAAACACTTCTTGCACATGAGGGAAAATACACATATTTACCACAATCAGCTTTGCAATATACACATGTATATTTGAAGGAGGCATTTCTTTATTACAATCCTGATATTTTGTGGAATTTGAGAATAGTGGAATGTATACTGTAGAGTTGGAAACTACTTGTAAATCCATGTAATTATTCTGAAACAAACCTAGGGGGGGGCAGAAATTATTTTGCCTTACTGCAAAGTACAAAATTCTTTATGTGAGTAGAAATCTAATGCATGACATTTCAATTATTTGGTGATCAAAGAGTGTTTGTGTGGAATAAGTGAAATACTTTGATTCACAGAAACCAATTTGATATCTCCTATTTAGATTTAGAATTTCTCCTTAAGAAATACAATTTCTTTAATACAGTTATCCATATTCAAACCTTCAAGTTCTGAAGAGTCATGGTGGCGCAGTGGTTAAAATGCAGTACTGCAGGCTAACTCACTGCTCATTCCAGGAGTTTGATTCGGACCAGCTCAAGGTTGACTCAGCTTTGCAATCTTCTAAGGTCGGTAAAATGAGAATCCCGGTTGTTGTGGGCAATATGCTAATCCTGTAAACCTCTTAGAGTGAGCTGTAAAGCTCTATGAAGCAGTATATAAGCTTTAAGTGCTAGTGCTATTGAAACCTCAAACATTTAGTTTGATTTTCTCTTTGTTTTTGAAGGGTGTGGTATCACCATGCCTAGATTGAAAAGAGCTCTCTGAAGCCTTCAGAATCTGGGAAGGGGTTTAAAAATATTGCTAAACAATGGTTCATCAATCATTCTACTCTTCAAAAAATCAACTTCAAGGGTGAAAGATTTCAAACAACTGCCAACTTGCCCAGGCTAAAAGAAGTCTCTAAGAACTCCAGAATTTCATTGCAAGATCTACAGATAACTCTCTTTACTACTGATGTCAAAGTGCATGAGTCTACCATTGGAAAGATATGGTGTAAATTAGATCTAACATAGGGGGTGTACCAGGAAGAAATCTTTGCTGTCCAGAAAGAATATCAGGGCAAGTATAAAGTTTGCTGTAGATCTAGACAAAGGCCAGACTTCTGGAACAACGATGAGGAAAAATTAGAGTTATTTACCAGTAATTTCTGAAGACATGTTTGGCAAAAACCAAAGATCAGAAAAACCTGTTAACAGGCCTCTTTAGCAACCGTTTCAAGTACTTTGGCACAGGCAAAATAAATGTATGGCCATTCCTTGCACCTATGACCATTGTACCATCTCTGTTGTCATGTGATCGAAATGTGGATGCTTTCTAACAAGCAAATGGAAAGTGAAATGATAAGTTATGGTCACATTATGTCTCCCTTAACAACGTACAATGATCAGTTTAACTCAGTGTTTTTCAATTTTGGCGACTTTAAGTCCTGTGGACTTCAACTCCCAGAATTCCCCAGCCAGCTATGCTGGCTGGGGGATTCTGGGAGTTGAAGTCCATAGGACTTAAAGTCACCAAGGTTGAGAAACACTGGTGGGAAAGACAAGTCCAACAGTTCACCATGGTTACATAATGTTTTGATTAGTGACAGAGTGACTGGATCCAGTTGTGGTTGGTAAGCAAATACTAGTATAGATTTGTCATTTGATGGGGCATTGGAAAGCCTAGAATGAATTGGAAGGAGTGAGGTTTTCAGTAAACTTAACAAATTGGCAGGTAGAAATTTATTCTGGATTATGCAAAGATTAAACACCTAGCATGGGACAGCAGAAAACACTTCCTGAAAATAAAATAGTAATTAAAAATGTGAGAATTCTTTTATCCAAAAGTAAGCTTAGAAATACTCACGTGGTGCAGCCAATTTTGTGAAGATAGGAAGCATTATGTCCTCCAACTGCTGCTTCTGATCAATAAAGTCTTGTGTATTAGGCTCTTTTGTATTTTCAAGCCAGTCCAACTTGGCTTGACAGGCCTTGAGGGAAGTAGTCTACACAAAGAATAAACCAGTATCAGCAAAAAACAGCTTTTTAGCAACCACCACTAGAGAAAATCTAACCAAAATGTAGGCATACAACAGTGGTGGGATTCAAATAATTTACCAACCAGTTCTCTGCCCTAATGACCAGCTGGGTAGGCGGGGCTCGGTGGTCATGTGATCATGTGGGCATGGCCAAATCAATGTCACTCAGGTCGATGGGCACTTCGCCTTAGTTGTTACAATGGTAATAAGGGTTAACTGGAGAGGCAGTTTCTGTAAGCATGGCAATAAAGATTAGGCTAGAAACAACACCAGAATGTTTCCTTCCTGCCTTCCTTACAGGATTAGCTCTGTAAAGTGGAAAAAAACAAGATTTCTTCCAACAACCGGTTCTCCGAACTGCTTAGAAAGTTACCAACCGGTTCTCCCGAATAGGTGCAAACTGGCTGAATCCCACCACTGGCATACGAGGTGTAGTACCTTTTGAACGATTTCAGAGAATGGAAATTATTTTACATCCTAAAATATTTGTAAATATTAGGGTTCTTGAGAAATTTCAAAATACAAAAACACAGTAAAATAAAAGTGTGACATTGTTAGCATATTTGCTCTGCCTTTCTTTTGTCAGACAGATAGCAAAGGCTAGGATATATGATATATGATGTATTTGAAAGAAACATTTGGGAAATAGTTAATAATTAGAAAATTCTATTAAATATGTTTCTAAGTTTCCATGCATGAATTCAGATATAAAAATTTGGTAATCAAATACTGAACTTCCTAGCATTATTCCAATGTAAAGAAGCATTTGTTCATATATTCACTTTAAATATCTATGAAATTAATATTTGAACTATAATTGACTAGCTCCAGGCTATTTGTTTTTATTTGTGTGAAACAATATAATATTTTACTACAATTTGTTCCTTTTTATTGTATCTTAAAAGCCATCTGTGGTTTACAAAAATGCTATATATAACAATTAATTGTTCAGAATACATGTTACCTATGATCACCAATAAAACTTGATTTAAAAATATTTGGAATTGGCAATGTTAGCTAAAGGTCCCCTATATCATGTGACATTTCTTCCTACTTTGTCCTTGCAAAAGACTGAAGAAGTAGTTTGACATTTGAAATGAAACTTCTGATGACCCTGTAATACTTTTATAGGGTCATCAGAAGTTATCAATAACCATGAATCAGCAATTAATTATATGAAACATACCATTCATTTGGACCAGCTTTAGATTAAACTAGCCAAATTGAAACTCACCCTAATATACAGAAAATCTATAATTAATTATTATTAAATAATATACCTTATCTTCTTTATTCAGCTTTCCTTGAACTTTCTCGGGATCAGTGATTGTTGCCTGGATTTGGGAAATAAAATTGCGCAAATTCTGCTTGGCCTCTGAAAAGAAAGAATAAAGTGACATGAGAATGTCCAAGAAATGCTGCCATACTATACGATAGCAAGTCTACGAATTCGCTGGCTGGGGAATTCTGGGAGTTGAAGTCCGGACATCTTCAAGTTGCCAAGGTTGAGAAACACTGATCGAGATTTCTCATTTCCCCCCAGTGAGCAATCCATTTTACAGATTGAATTATAAGAGATGTTTCTAGGAAAAAAGTAATTGTTGGAGGGTATATTTTTATTGAGAACACAGCCAGAAACTGAAAGGTGAAACTGCCTTCATTCTGCAGTAATCTTGATGAAAACTGTTCCTATCATTTAATACGTATTGATTTTTTAAAAAGGAGCTGACAAGAATGCACATGCATCTATTGCTGCTTGTCTGACTTTCTCATATTGAATTGTCTCTAACTGTGTATGCAGTGTCAACCAATGTCTTTCCTGCTGTTTTTTTTTTAATTTCTGAATAATAACTTCAAAATGGTAAGTTTCCTTTTGCAGTAATCTCATCTGTGTTTCCCTGTAGACATGACATGTCAGAGTGTGAATTTATACTATACATAGTATAATGTGGCGCAGTGGTTAAATGCAGCACTGCAGGCTACTTCAGCTGACTGCAGTTCGGCTGTTCAAATCTCACCGGCTCAAGGTTGACTCAGCCTTCCATCCTTCCGAGATGGGTAAAATGAGGAGCCGGATTGTTGTTGGGGGCAATATGCTGACTCTGTAAACCGTTTAGAGAGGGCTGAAAGCCCTATGAAGCGGTATATAAGTCTAACTGCTATTGCTATTGCTATACACATACTATAGGCAGAAGTCAAATAATCAGTAAATTACAGCAGGGAAGAACACACGTGGAGAGAGACGGACGCCCTAACAGGACCTCTTCTTATTATACATGCTCTTAAAGGGATAACGTGCTGACTCGTACCCATCATCACCAGTGCATCATTGTAGCAGCTGGTCAGCTCTTAAATCACTACCCTGACATATATACTACATAGGCAATCTATCAGAATGTGTAAATAATCTACTTCTCTTAAGCATTCAGGACAGAGAGTTACATGGGTTTTTTTAATGCTTCCATACACCCTTCCCTTCCTCTATAAACCCAAATATCCATGACTTCAATGAATCCATGAAGCCCATCAAATATCTGATTATTTATACCTGATGAATAACAAATAGAAGGAAACTGGTCATGTAATGCCCACTTCTTGATGGTCAGTGTAATGAGCAAGAAGTATGGGATAGCAAAAGCACTATATAATTTAATTTCTATTCTTCATCCCCTCTCTCTCCTTTATAAATACCCCAAGGTATGTATAAATTATGGAGATATGTCTTTTCCCTTCACTGTATAACATAATGCAAGCAAAATGCAAGCAGCAAAATTAACAAAACCTCAAGTCATATTCATACTGCTTTGGGAAAGATAATCAGAATAATCATTTAAATAATTTTCGTAACATCTTTCTATATTAAAATATTATAGAATTTATTTTTTTCCAGTACCATTAAAGCAGCTTACACTCCGAAAACAACCATTTATTAGAAAAATAAAATGACATTTGTCAATGATTTTTAGTAAATATTCACTCTAGGTTGGTCTTCAGAAATGCTTTACTCAGTATTAGGGAAAGCATTATGTATGCTTACATATTTTTAAATATGAGAATTGTTAGTAGAAAACATAGTAAGGTTTTCAAATATCTCTATTAATTTTCTCTATTTCAGATGCAGGGTGATGTTTTTTTCATGGCATCTGTACTGCATTTACCTTCTTCTCTTAGGAATGGCATTAATTAGCCAGCATTTTCAAGTTGACTGTACTAAAGATTTATCTGATATCAAATGAAAACATGGCATTTTTAAAGGGACAAATATGACAGGCCCATTCCCAACATGGGTAAGGAAAGGCAAGGATCAACAGGAGATGGATTATATAATTAATAATATGATGTGCTTTTTGTGTTGATAACATTGTGCTACAGGAATGAGGGACAAGACATGTGTACAACTAATAATTTGATAAATGTACATTTTGTTTTAAGAATAGGATATTTCCAATTTTACACATTTTGTATTATTCGCCTTACATTTCTTTACTATGAAACACTTTCCTTCAGTTCTTATTGACTTCATAAACACTTTTCTATAAGATCTGGAACTCCTTTATGACATCACAGAATCTTCTCACAGCTGGTGGGCTAATATTACCACATTCAAATCTCTCTAATGCCCAGGCAGGAAGCTTGGTTATCATGGAAGGATTTATTTGAGTAAGATTCTTTTGTGACAGTCCATAATGAACCTCAAAGGCCAGATGCTGCAGCTCCTACACAAGGAACATCCATTAGATAGCGACATTTTTGTCTGAAAATAGCATACAATGTTTCTGCCTCATTCTTGCCAGATTTTCCTTTTGTGGACAATCTTCTTGATGCAAGATGTTCTTGGTTTTTGTGAACGACCAGCCTGGACAAGAGTTGCTTGGGAAATGACTCCACAGGATCTGGAATTGGTGACTAAAGAGCAATCTATCCTCTTTCATAACTCAATATGTCGTATATACCAGTGTTTTTCTGGCATAGGACTAACTAAAGGGTGCCTAGAAGTAGTGCATATTAGTTACAAAGTGGCACTTGTCATAGCTATAGGTTTAGCTATACACTTCCTTTTCCACAAAGTGAAACTGACAAAAAGTACAAAGGTAAGATTTGGATATCGACTGTGCAATGAAGAGGATGCTTCATCCTTCCCCAATTATACCATTGCCTGACCTCTAACTTTCATTCCCTATCCCTAACTCAGAATCCCATCAAATAAAAATAATGCTATCTGCTGATAATGTAATTATTTCATCTGATTCATACCCCTAACATCTGTCCTCCAATTATCTGAAGCAGATTTAGTAAGAATGCTATTGGATTGGTTTTCGCATATCTGGTTCTCCACAACATATGTACAGTGTGTGTGTGTGTGTGTGTGTGTGTGTGTGTGTGTGTGTGTGTGTACTGTATATTCTGCATAATATATAATTGCCAATTCATAGCAGCTCCCAGATTTCTCTGCTTCTACATGGAATTCTAGGGGTTAATATCCCAATTCATCTGGAGGGAACGTAGACTTGAAGTCTTAGCCTTCAAAGAATTGTAATTTCAATAATTATTTGAATGGCTAAAATCTGATATAATCTAGTCCATATATGATTTATATTGTTGTGCATTTAAAAATTATCACTATCCGCAATCTGCAAGAGATTCTAAAGCATGGCTCTGCCAGTTGGCCAAGAGATCAAATGGGGGAGTTCCACATTGGAGGTGTCTCCTAGAGTGATGGCAGACGCCACTCCGCCACCCACTTGCTCTCTGCTCTCCATCCATCCATCTTTTGGTTATCATATTGAAGTATTCTTGCTGTGTTCCTTTATCAATGTTTACTTCATTGTTTTATTATTTTACTTCTGTTTACACACTTTTTCCTTTTTTTCCTTTTTATTATTGTAAGCCACCTAGAATAACCCCATGGCTAAACAGGTGGCAAATAAAATTTTAAAATAATAGTAGTAATAATAGTGCGATGAACCATAATAATATCTTAAATCCAACCTGTATTCTAAGTTCAACTAAATTTTGTCCAATTTAGATTTTGAATGGTATATATATACATAGTGCCCAATCTGAGGTAAAAAGCTCCAAGACAGATTGTGTACATTTTCAATAAAAGTTTTAATTCAGGGTAAATAAGTAAAAATATCTAACTCTGTTGTAAAGGCACATAAAAATGTTCAGCTCTCAGAAAAAAAGCATCACCATAAAAAAATCAACTTCCAGATGTTATCTTTATAAAAGCTAACAAGAATAAAAAATAAAGAATATAGACAAGGAACAGATATTATTTTGTCAGAAAATGAAAACAATTCAAGACAATGAGAAACATATTGGAGAGAGGGAATCTTGGTGATTAGGCAAAAATTCAAAGCAAAGATAATATCTAAGGAAGGAGTAACAAGCAGAATATAGTAATGAAAGTCTGCTACCGGAATGTAATATTATGTAGAGATATTAGAGTACAGCTTTATGCTGAACAATTTTAAATAACATTCTTTTTCATGCAGAGAACAAATGTAATTATAATAGTAAATTATATAAATTTCTCATTGTGGCTGAAGCAAGGCTAAAAGTATTTAACTCTGAATGTAGGATTTTTGGATATAATCGGTGTCTGTTTATCTAGATTCCAAGGTAAACAGTGATTTCCAAAATTTAAAATATGGATCTCTCTGTATAAGATTAGCAGTCTTATTACTAGCTTTGATCCTAAACATTTGACAACAACTTGAATTCCAATACTTACAAAATTGAATAAGGAACCTTTCTTGGCACTTTTATTTGTATGACAAGAAAAGCATCCATGACTTATTATCTACGTGTCAAACTCTTGTTCAAAGCCATCTGCTATTTAACTTTTTTTTTAATTTTAAAAATCCTGTATTTTCAAAGCAGATTAATAAATGGAGAGACAATTACTGAACTTATTTAATTAATGCTCAGTATAACAATAAAAGATATCAGAGTACACTGAATTACTTTCCTAATATAAGAAACAAGTTTTAAATTTTTACCTTAATGCTAATGTCTCACTATATTATCATGTATAAGTTTAAAACAACATTAACATGCTTTCAATTTTTTTCACTTGACAGTCAGAGAACCCCACAACAGCAGTATCAGTTGTCACAGAGATGAACGAAGATTATAGCCAGGACACGAACAAAATGCTCTACAAATTAGTGACTAACACTTCCAAGATGATGAAATACATGAAGCGTGTCACCAATCAGCACAAAAAAGAAATTAAGTACCGTAAATTACACAAAAAGAGAAAAAATGACGACTATGATGAAGATGAACATTTTTTTCCAGTTTGTTTGCACAACCATAGCTCCAGTGCAGACACCATATAATGTATACACCCCCCCAAAAAAATCTTCCTTCCTATATTCAGTTCTTACTGAATATTTGGAATGTTGCTCCCAATCCAATAAGGTGGCAAAGGAAGTAACAAAGCTCCAATTTAGGTTGCTTGGTATGCTGAGTTAGATTCTGTGCAGGATGCTATTGTACTGAAGAAGACACAAAGAGGCTATTAAATGTTCTTTTAAAGTCAAACCAAAGTGATTTGCATCTACAATCTCAATAATTAAAGACTGTATTTGGTAGATAATGGAGTGAGTCGTCAATATGATCTTATCTTTGTTATATAAAACTGGGACCGAACTTTAATAAAAGGCGCCCTTTTCCCAGGAAGCAAAGTGCTATTTTAGCAGTTTAGCATTCCTCATGCTCGGTGGATTTCAGATATAGTAATTCTATGTGACAGGGGAAAAAAGATGGAAAAAATCCTTTCTTCCCAACTTGATATGATTTCTGCTCAGGGGAAAAAACAGACAAAGCAAACAGCAAAGAACAGACAAAAGGCAAGCGATCCTAAAAGAATGAGAAGATGGCTGAGCGATTCAGTAGCTAGAAGTCAAGTTTATTTATTTATTTATTTGTTTGTTTGTTTGTTTGTTTGTTTGACTTATATACCGCTTCATAGGACGTTCAGCCCTCTCTAAGCGGTTTACAGATTTTTAACAAATTGAGTCAGCATATCACCCCCACAGTCTGGGTCCTCATTTCACCCACCTCGGAAGGATGGAAGGCTGAGTCAACCTTGAGCCGGTGAGATTTGAANAGAATCAACAGCAAAATTATTAATCATGAAACATCATTCTTATAGTGTTTGCAGCTTCTTTAGTTCTACCTACTTTACGTGTTATATCATTGTTGGTTAACAAGTCTCCAAAGCACAATAATTGGTTAGTCATTACATCATTGGTGTTCGTGAAAATGTGCATGTTTTCACACACTGAATGAATCGAGTGTTATCATTCAAATGAATAAAATGTTACAGGTTTACTTTGTATCATCCCGTGCCCTTGATGCCTGGGAACACACTGCAACAGCAAAGAATAGCTGACAAGCAAAGATTTGCTGCAGATTGCTGCAGTTTGTACTTACATGTGTAACCTCAGTTCTAAGGACCATCCAGATGATTCACTGTAAAAACCCTACATGGGACTTTCTATCTAGGAGCATCATGGAGCTATAGAAATGGTATATTTCGACTTCCAGTGACTGACCAGTCTGGAATGCTCTTTCTGGACTAAAGCTTTTTTCAATTTACAAACAAGGGAACTGAGTTCCCTAAGTTTATATGACTCTGTCTGACTTAACTCATATTCTGAGTTAAAGAAAGTACCAGAATCACCTTATACAAGCAGCAGTTTGAAAAGAAACTGGAGCAGCACACCGAGGTAGCCAAGTGAGAAATCCATAAACTAAAACGTGGTGACCAAAATCACTTTGTTGATGAAAAAGCAACTGTTTTAGTATTTGTTTTTCAAACAGACAAGGAGTTATGCCTTTTATTTCTTAAACACTTCATTATTGTTCAACTAAAAGAGGATTATTTTTTTTCAGAAACAGCCTGTTACTCCTTTTTAAAGATCTAGCCATTTGGGGGACATCATTATTGTTGAAAGGCAGGGAGGAGGGTTGCCAGAGGTGAGCTAAAATAAGGAAGTACCTTTTTCTTGGAGAAACATAAGGCATTAATAATGGTTGGTCTTAATTTCATCATTTTCATGAATTTGCCACCTTTATTTGACATTGGGAGTTATAATCTGCATTTTTGGGCTGCTTATTGGGTAGGCTGAAATCTTCCAATCTTAATTAATTGGCTGAGAGATACCACTTGATCAACAAAAAGCTTCCTTTTATAAAACTATTATTATTTTACAAAAGGAAGGTAAAGAACAGAATATGATGAAGCAATATAGGAGGCAATTATGCCAGACAAGAGACTACAGTTTCCCTCATATCTTCTTCACAAAAGTGCATAAAATTGTTTTTTGTTATAAATATAATCTAATAATATAACTAAATATTTATAGGTATAACTAAATATAAATATAAGATATGTAAAGAAATAGTTATAATCTTAAATGAATAAAAAGGATTTTCTCTTTAAGATTAAAGACTTTAAAAGATTTATAAATATTTAAAGAATATTTTAGAAATATTAATAAGCGTAAATGAATATACATATATCACTTTCCACAACAGACAGAAAAATAAAAAAATGGATTTGGTTAAGATGGCAAGATAAAGTCTTTTAAACAAGGATTTTATTCAGTCTTGTTTCTAGTGGGATATAGTTCTGATTTTAAGGCTTGAAAGAGGAAAAAAGGAAATCTAGAAATTATTTGAAGATTTAATAACCTGTGTAGTATAGAACTGGCTTGTATAGGTAAAGTGTTGAGGTCATAATTGTATTAGTATTTTACTCTGTTGGAAAAAATCAAAAGCCAACTACTTTTTTCTTTTCCAATCTGCACCCCCCCCTTTAATTTTTATTTACATTGTATTTTATGCTATAATAAACCTTAATACAACTTTATATATACAAAAAAATGGTAGATTCACATCCAAGGAAAGTAAAAGAGTTAGCATTTCCCAAACCAGGAATTAAAGGAGACTATATGCAAATTCTTTGTTTAAGATTTGAGGATCTATGTGGGGGGAAAAGGTACAACACAAGAGAAAATTGTGGTTAGGCTGAAATTAGATAAAAATAGAGAACAAAAGAGAGCAATCTGGTTTAATGGTGAAAGTATCAGATTAGAAACTTGGAAACTGTAAGTTCTAGTCCCACCTTAGGCACAACACCAGTTGGGTGAATTGTGCTATAGGTAATCCTTGACTTACACCCATAATTTGAACTAGAATGTACAAAATCATAAATATGTGCCAGTTGGCAAGGACCTGAATTTTGAACACATGACCATGGGGACATGGGGGTAGTCATACGTCACTATTCTCAGCATCATCCTGATTTTGAAGGGATGTCAAGAACTATGTGTAGTCACTTTCTCTCAGTCCTAGGAAGAAGGCAATGGCAAAAAAAATTCTAAAAAAAAACATTGCCAACAAAACTGCAGGGAATGGTCCAGACAGTCCCCCAGAATTTGACATGATTGAATTAAAGGGGGGGGGGAAGAAAAATGAATTGAAGGACTAATAAACACTTAGTTCTGAAAGCTCTAACTTCTGCTAGCTGAAAAGATAACTATGAGCACTGATTATAGCAGTTTTCAAATTCAAAATAAAAACTGACATAATTCTTTTTTGAAGACAAGTTTTTTTTATTTATATATAAGTATTTTGAATACAGTGTATTGTCCAGGCACACTATTTTACAAAAGTAAAAAAGAAAAACTAACATATATACTGTTCTGACCCCCTCCTCCGTCCAGTAACGAATGCCGAGACAATCTTAACTGGAACGTCACAGCTCTTTATTAGCAAGAAACCAAACCCTCGGTGGCTGAAAGCCAAGCATAACA